AAACAAAACTGAAACGATAAATTCCCAACTATATATTACAAAGCAAGAAGATCGAAAAGAAAAAGTAACTAACATTTAGTGTATATTCAATATCATATTAATAGCGAAAAACTCAACATTATTATGAATATGTTACTATAAGTCTGTAAATTGGTAAAATTTCATTCATTACTTTAAATTATCTATGTTTTGCGATTTTCTTTATCATTTCTTTCTTCATTTTTTAAAGATATGATTATTATCTCTTTGAAGAAGTAGCGTTTAAAATTATCTACTTTATTTACTACTTTTTTCTCCTTTATGCATATGAAGTGAAATTATTATATACGACTTTCAGATCATTATTTATAACTACACATTCTTTACATTTTTGTATAAAAAGGCAGAAGTAAATTGTAAGTTAATATCAATATATTAATTAAAAACATTTTCTAGTTCTAAAAATAATAAACTATATGAGTTACTTTTGATTTGATTTTGCTCAATTTTGCTCAATTTTGATTTGATTTTGCTTTTGATGGTATTTGCTCGCGCAATATTGGTACGCAATATTTTATAATTTTAAAACCGTCTTAGAACCGCCGACCCAATTTTGGGTTTATGACTTCAATGTTTAACTCCTGGCCTTGAAACTTTAAACCCAATCCAGAAGACAAGGGAATTCCTGGATTAAGTACTGGGAAATATGTGCCTTCGTGGAAGACTTTTTGATGGAACTAACCCGCATTTTCGTTACTTGGGGAAGAAAACCTCCAAAAACCTCCCATGGTTAACCTAACTGCCCATGTTCCGTCTAAAACTGAGAATATTTTACGTCAGCACTGTGCTGGGTGATCTACTGAGAACTGTGACTTATCAGTTCACTGTGGAATATTTTAACTTTGAGATAGTTCTCTATAAATTATGATACTTAAGCCGCTCTAGAGACAAAGAAGATTGGTATTTCATTGCAGAACCTCCATTTTATAAACATAAAATCGCTTATTTAAAGATTATTATAAATCTGAGTCTTTGCTCTTGGTCTTTAAATTATTTTTTTTCATTTATTAAAATGAATAAAAAATGTATAAAAGAACCTATGCAGGGGGCATTGTTCTGCTACCGAACACTGTGAAGCTTAGAGGTAACGGGTTCAATTTCCGATTAGAATTTATTTCCTCTTTATGTTTTTTTCTCTGAAAAATTCCGATAGTTATCTGTTAATTTGAATACGGTTTCTAAGCATTTTCATTTTGTATTGAGCACACAAAAAAGCAAATTTATTGAGGCAGAAAGGCGCAAGTTCGTGCTCCAAAATCTTTGAAGATCTATAGTGAACAATTTGAACGACTGATCAGTCAAACTAGAGAATTAACGAGTTTGAATCTCATAGAAATCTGGAAATATCTGTGAGCTTTCATTTCCAAAGTTGTGCTATTATTTTTCTTTTTTACAAAGAGATTAGAAGCCGCTCGTGTCCCGCAGTGGACTGATCGTTAAGACACGGTTCCCAGCAGATCACCGAAGTCAAGCATCACTGGTTGCGGTCAGTGTGCGGGTGGGTGACCACTTGGATCAGTCTGCGTAGGGACCGAGGGTGTGCGGTATTGGTCCTCGTTAAACTGTGCTACCGTAAAGTGCTCGACTTCGCGTGCAGGTCGTCGGGCTACCGAAGCGGGGGTGCCATCCCCTCCGCAGAAGATCAAAATTATGATGGCATGTCTTCGGATCATCCTCCGGGATGTTTCCCAGACCGTCGCCAATAGCCCATTGTGCAGCTCTAGTGCGACGTAAATTAACAACAACAACAACAACAGAAGCCGCTTGTTTATAAGCAGCCCGCAAACGTGTCTAGGCACAAGCCCTCAATGAATTAAAGGGCCTCTTTGACGGAGCAATTTCGTTGATCCGCCTAATACTTTATAGCATGGAGGTAGCGCGTTCTAATTCCGTATTAACTCTGAATGTAGCTTTGTGTTGTTTGTCTCTAATTTGAGCTATCAGTTCTTTACCTTCATAAAGGCTCATAAGACGGCTTGGTAAAGACGACACAAGCCTGCATATGTATATGTAACAATAAATAAAATTAAATAGATTAATCACTTTAAAGAGCCTCTCTGATTGTCTAACTCTCTGTAGCGTGAAGGTAGCGGGTTCTATTCCCGCTGTAATCCCGGATGTATCTTTATGATCTTCTCTAACTTATGCTAGGGTCCCGCAGTGGACTGATCGTTAAGACACGGTTCCCAGTAGATCACCGAAGTCAAGCATCACTGGCTTCTGTCAGTGTGCGGGTGGTTGACCACTTGATCAGTCTGCGTAGGGACCGAGGGTGTGCGGTATGGGTCCTCGTTAAACTGTTCTACTGTAAAGTGCTCGACTTCGCGTGAAGGTCGTCGGGCTACCGAAGCAGGGGTGTCATCCCCTCTGCGGAGGATCAAAATTGTGATGGCATGTCTTCGGATCATCCTCAGGGATGTCTCCCAGACAGTCGCCAAAAGCCCATTGTGCAGCTCTAGTGCGACGTAAATGAACTACAACTACAACAGCTTGTGCTAGGGGTTCTTCAACTTGACAAGGGCTTATAAGCAGTACTTTTGTTTTACGGCGTGGGTTACTTTTTTGGGTTTACGGCTACTAATATTCAACTCCGTAGCCTTGAAATTTTGATCTCAATCCAGAAGACAAGGAAACTCCCGGATCTAGTATTTGGAGAAAATTTTTACCTCTGGGGAGGACTTTCTGATGGAACTAATCCGCATTTGCGTTACAAGGAGAGGAAAACCATGAAAGTCTCCCGTGGTTAGCCTGACGGCTAGGGGACTCTAACCCATGATCCGTTTACCACTGAAGATATTTTACGTCAGCACTGTGGTCGGTGCAAGCCGGATGCGGAATTCGTATCAACCAGCCATCGCTAGGATTCGAATCCGGTTCACCTCATTGGAAGGCAAGCACTCTATCCCCTGAGCCATCACGATTCATAAGCTGTATTTTATTTTATTTTACATCCGTCGTTGAACAACCGATCCGTTGTTGAGCCGATCTAATTTTTGTGTTTACGACTACATTATGTTGTAATGTTGAACCAATTCAGAAGACAAGGAAACTCCTGGATCAGTACCCCCAGAGATATTGATTTGTTATGGGAACATGGAGGGCTTTGCGACTCGACAGATTTAACGTGCATCAGTCACCATTTACAACATTGGGAGTTTTCGGTCGGCGGGGATCGAACCCACGAACTCTTGAACATGGGCCCAGTGCCCTACCAACCAGGCATATGCTGTATTTTGTAATGAGCAAACAAACCTGTATGTGTAACAAAAAAAATGCAAATAAACCGATATCAAGGACCTCTCTGACTGCCAAACATTGTGTGTAGCATGGAGGCAGCGGGTTCGAATCCCGCTCTTACCCTGGAGATGTATCGTCCTGCTATCTTTCTCTGAATTGTGCTATCTGTCCTTCTACTTGACGAAAGCTTACAAGCCTTAAATGAACACACAATCCTGCAAATGAATGTTGTATAAACCAATAAAACAATACCAAGTTGAGCGCCAAAAGGTTAGTGATTAGAACAAATCTTTTTATAATAAATTGTTATTTTATTTTTTAATTTAATTTCATTTCCTAATTTAATTAAAATTTATATTTATACAATATAGATATGCGTAATACAATAACCAGTTATTAAGTATAAATAAGTGAAGCCAACAAAATAAATAATATGTATTGAATAAAACAATAATCAGCCATTAAAACATAAAAAATAACTTTTTTTTAATCATTGATATCTACTTGAGTGACCACAAATTTAGAAATTAAAACAAATCTTATTTTCATAATAAATAAATTTCTACCAAACATATTTAATGTATGATAAGCCAATGAATAATAAAGTATTTAGTCATTACATTAAAATAAATACAACGAACAATATGAATAATGTAAATCGAATAAAATAATAATCAATCATTAAGCAAACAATAACTTTTTTTTGCTATCATTGATTGCAATCTGAGTGTCGAAAATATAGAGATTAGAAGAGATATTACTATATTGCTTTGTTTTACTCGCTTTTTTAATTTTTTTAAAATTTCAGTATCAATTTTCATTCAAATATTCATACACAGGTGAACAATACAATAATGACTCATTGAATATAAAAAATAAAACAGTATAATTAATGTAAATTGAATAAAACGATAATTAATCATTAAACCACTAATAATAATCTTAATAATAATAAATAAAATAAGCAATATAAATTGAATAAAGCAATAAACAATCATTAAATCAATAAATTACTATTTTTTTCTACTATTGAAAACCTAGTGCTATTATTTTACATCTTTTCATGAATTTCAATTCCTTCTTTTATACAAAATTACATACATATTATATAAAAATCAAATTTTTTTTTATTTTCTACTTTACTTTTGTAAAATGTTTAGTTATTCAAATTTATTTTACTCCATTGCCTTGTAAATTATAATTTTATCTCAACACCCAGCTTTAGTTAAATAATAAATAAAATAATCACACTTTATCTTATAATAACCGAAATAAAAGAAAGATAATGCTGTGAAATTAGCTCGTTTAAAGAACAATTTAATTTCACGCCCTTAAATATAAACTATATTTAAAGTTTCGAAAGCAAGTGTTTTTCGACACACGGTTTTTCATTCATTAAATGAAATCATTAATATTCATTCGCCTTTCGCAGTTCATCAGCTTTTACTCTACACGCGGATCATTCAACCAAAGTTTAAATGAGATCATAAAAAAATTCTTCCCATTCATAAAGTTTCTTCTCATTTACTCCAGCGATAAATCGCCAAGAAATAAAATCAACAAATATCAATTCTCTAACTTTAATTAACTTTCGAAGAAAGTTTCTTAAACTATCGTCTGTAAGTCAAAATTAAAAATCGTTTTAAAACCGTATCGTGTTTTTGGATGCAGAGGAGAATTATTTTTTTTATTTTATCGTCTGCTTTCAGTTGGCTGACTTGGCTAGTTACGCGTTCAAAGTTGGGCGCCAATGCCGCTAAAGTAAAAGAATGAAGGATGCTGAGAACTATTCTCTTTTGAGAATGAGTGAAAGTGAACGGGCAGTTCGGCAATAGAGCTTACAGTTGTGGTTCGTTCTCTGTAGCATGTAGTGGGGTGATTGCGGACTTAATAAGTGGGGCAATTTTTGTTAAAATATAAACATTATTTTTGGATTTATTTTTGAAGGATATGTGCTAATGAAAATATAGAAATATTTAATAATGTGGACTCTAGTCATTTCGAATTTGGCTTTTTGTTTTTATTTTCCATTACTTGTTCAAAGCGCATCGGATTCATCAGGTAGGTTTTCATTCCATTTTTCATAAAAAGCTTATTTTTTAAATGTATTTTTAAATTTTATTTTAATAAGAATGATTTGCATGTATTTTTTTTTTGATGAATAAAAATAATTACAATAATATTGATGTCATTTTATGGAAATATTATTTTATCGTTTGCAGATATTTTTTTAATTCTTTACGAAATTTCGCTACTTTTAATGAAATTTTTAGACTTTTATTTTAAAAACTGTGAAGATTTTAATGTAGTAAACGATCTAAAGTTTAAAGATTTATTTGTAAAGATACTGCTGGATGCATTTTTATTCCAATTTAATGTAAGATGTGCTAACTTATTTTATTTTTTAAAAATATTAGAATCAATTTAACAATACAAGCATACGATTTTCTTCAAAATGTGAAATAATTTGAAACTAATTTATAAAATTTAAGTGTAAAATTATCTGTTTCAATTTTTTTTCAATAGTAAGGTAATTACTTTAAAAGAACATTTCTTGTATATCAAAAAATTCTTTCATTGTTTAGAGACTTTAAATATTTTATCAGAGTATATTTCTGATTAAAATGAATTGTGTATTTTGCTTTAAATATGTTTTTTTTAAAAGAAAAAAATGAGTATACCATATTTTAATTACCCAATGTGTGTTATGTATAAATAATAGAATTTTTCTATTTTCGTCATTTATAATAAAGTAAAATTTCGCATTCATAAAACTGTTTAATGTTTTATCATTCTATAATATTATTTAATTGTTTAAAACCTTAAAAAATTAAATAAAAATGAAATGTACTAATTTTATTCGATAATTTATTTTTCCTTTTGAAGATTTTATGAGCATTAGGGTTTGAAATAAACTAATTTTCATCCATGCATACGAGAGGAAAAATATAAAAATCCCTCATGCTTATCTTGATGATAATAATGTTCTGAATCAAGATCCAGTTATCGATAAAATTTTGTACCCCTGATCTGGTTTTATTAAAGATGAAAAGAAAATTTGATGTATCAAAAAATATAATTTATTTTTTAAGAGTTAATTTTCAGTATACAAGCGCATTTTTTATTACATAATATTCTTCAGAAAAATCCAGTTCAAATTGAATCAATTTGTTTTTTGAATTTCGATTTTGAACAGTTTTGGCGTGTTGCTGTTATACAGCATTTATATAAATTCTACTAAAATTTATATAAAAAAATGTTCTTTTTTTGTTCAAGATAGAAAAATGCTATTTTAAATTATATTATTAATGTGTATGATTTTTAAAGAGATTGATATATGCTATAGAAAGGGAAACCAAACTGGGAATTTAAAATTGTATCAAACTCGAGCATAACATCCGATTTTCAAATTCGACTTTTGAAAAAAAAAAACCGGGTTTCAAAATTCGCGCACGCTTTCTTGGCGACATTTGGTGACTTTTTCACAAAAGAGTAGGCGAAAATTGTTATTCTATTGATTATCAAGTTCGAGTTCAAAACTTTTTTTTTCATAAGTTTATTGGAAATATTGAATAAACGTTTGAATGTCATTTAAAATTCTCAAACTTTGATGAGTTCTACAACATTAAAGCAATTTTCATAAAATTTAAATAAATTTTTCATCGTAATATAATTTAATATGCTTACACGCGTCTTTATGTTGTAGCGCAAAAAATAACTGAAATTATTTTTTTTAAAAAATCTGCAGAGATAAACAATTTATTTTTGTTGCAATAGAGTTTTTAAAGGAATAAAAACATAAATTTTTAACTTTAAAAATAAATAATTTTTAAAACAAGTACAGTTGCATATGATTTTTGATAAAATCGTTTAAAAGCATTATTTCCTTGTAGTGAAGTTTTCTATATTTGAATTGAAAAAATTTTATTTAAAATTAATAGTTAAAATTAATATTTGGTGTTTTTTAAACACCAAATCTTTGAGCGAATTATTTTACCGTAAAATCGATATTTTTTTTGTTTTTAAGATCAATCATCCACAAAATTCTTCTTTAGAAAAAAAAAGAGTTTTTGTCGTCTAAAATTGACGTTGTAAGATATGGTTTATGCGTTTCTTTCTCACAAAAAGGTAGCTTATTGATAAAAACTAAATCCTGTCAAATAGATCCCAAATCTACGGTAATTTTAGATTCGGAAAATTAGGAGCATATTTTTCAAAAATTCACAAAAACAAGACATTTTCCAAATAAAATCTAGACGAACCAGTTTCACAATTTTATAAAACAGGACCTTTCGAGAAAATTCTGAAATAAACCCTGATATATATATATTAACGTTAACCTATAATCAGTAAATGAGTAGAATGTTTTCCTGCGCAGTACGGAGAAACTGTGTTTGGCAGGAAAATTTGCATACAAATTTGTGTAAGCAGCGCAAACTGGAAAATTCCTAAAGTGATTTTTCCCCCAAAAGCTTTTTTAAATTTTTTATTTTATTAAACTCCGCTAAAGTATGCCCCTTTTTTTAAAAACCTTTCCGCATACTTATATATTTGCATTCCGCATACTTATATATTTTGTATAATTAGTGATCACTTAAATAGTCGATGTTCTGAACTACAATGATTAAATATTCACATTGTTCATTTACATTGTTAAATATTTCCATATTACTACAATTTTTTTACTATGTCGCGAACAAACAAAAACGGTTCATATTCGAATTTCTTACTTAGGAAAAGGAAAACCTAATTTTCGGTATAGCATTAAATTTATTTTGTTACGTATGATAAAAAGTTTTTACAAAACTGAATAAAAATGTCGACATGTTGTTTGAATAAATTAAAAAAAATTTCGACTATTTTTAACATCTTATTATTTTATAATAATAGCGTTCGATTTGGATTTCTTTATTTTACCGCAGTTCCTCGAGTGTAATTATTGACAAATATATTTTATGTAATTCAGTTTATGATAAAAGTATTTTTTTGTGTGTAAGGCAAAATATATTTGTATTTTTTAATATAAAAATGTATTTTTATTACAATAAAAATTAATTTTATAAATTAATTATATTTTAAAATATTTTATAAGTAAAGCATTCTCGCCACAGCCCGTTGTGGAAAAAAGAAGTCTTGGAAGTTAAGGCCTCGCAATTTCGTCTCCAAAGGCATGAGTTTTGTAATGAGTTAATTGCGCACAAGCCGTATTTATTTCACGTACCTATAGATCCAAAGCTGGGTATGCTTTAAAGCTTCTACTGACGATTGAACCTCAATTCTTACTCAGATACAGCACTTGTGCTGTATTTAATATTTTATGTATAATTAAAAAAAATTTAATTTAATAAATTTTATATTTTTTCATCAGTAAAATGAAAGTTATGTAGTGTTATTAAAAGTTTACTGTTGATTTGAGTTAAATTGGATTTTTTAAAAATTTTTATATTTTATTATTTTACATGTCCTTACAATCAGTTAAGACGAAGTTTCCCAAAGTCTGATTGGGTGATTTTTTTTCAATTTTTATCAGTATTTTTAATCCGTTCTTTTCTTCCTTTTCTGAATTTTTTGTTAGCAGAACTCTACTGTTTCGACTTATCTTATTTTTAGCTCTTTAAGATGACTCTTACTCTTGGCTTTCTTCAATTAACTGTCATCATAATAGCTGACGTGTCCTTGACCATGACCAAATAAAATTTATCAATTAAAATATGAGTAAATCTAAATCTTTCATCTAATGTTTTTTTATAGTCGTTTACTGTCTTGTCTCAGCTGTAAATTGATTAGTATTTGAGAATTCAGACTTCATGACTTTGCTAAAAGTATTTATGGCTTTATTCTTTTTCGAGTTACAGTTTGTTCCTTTCAGTATTATAAACGTGGTTTTTTTTTTGAAATAAGATTATTTTTTCAAGTAAAATAGTTTGAAAATTTAAAAAATGTTTTTGTTGAAACATTCTGAAAACGTCATATACATTTTTGGAAATTAATAGTTTTTCAGAAATTAGTAGTTTTTTAGAAAAACTACTTAAAATTGATTATTTAAAGTTTAAACATTGACGGGATAAAAATAAGTAAAGTATGTTACTTTTTTTTGCTAAACAAAGGAATAATCCAAAATTCTGAAAAGGTCCTTTATTATGCAACAAATGAAATATAAATATTATTTTTTAAGCCCTTTAACACAGAATTTGTTTTGTGGAAAACATATATTTCATAAATTTTTTTTATTTTGTATCAGTTTGGATCAAAATAAGTGCAGAGATGCCAACTGCTCCGGACACGCCAAAATAATTTAAGAAACGGTAAATAACTACAAAGTAAATTTTGCAAATATTTGACTACTTTTGCTTGCTTTTTAAAAGGTAAAACATAACATAGGTACTACAAATTGGTGAATGATATAAGCCTACGAATTATTTAGAAATAGTGGTGGATAAAAATCTACTAAATTGAATTTATTAAACCAAGAATCACAATTGATAAACTACCACTTTAAAATATATATTTGCTGCCCGGAGCAAGCTGGCATCTCTGTAAGTGAAAAATATTATATATTTATCATTTTAACAAGTTATAGTTAAGAAATACAGAGTAAAGCAAGAGTGTATTTTTCGGCGTTAAAGGTAAAATCTTCCAAACACGGCTCTTTTCTAAACAATAATTTTTCAATTTTGCTCTTATTTGCAGTTATTTAGATCTAGAAGAAACAGTTATTTATCGTTGAAATTTTTAAAATTTAGAAAATCAGTTATTGATAAATTTTTGAATATGAATAAATTTTTTTTTTAAACTTAAATTTTTTTTTCCGTATTTTATATTTTAGTACTAAATTAATTCCTGTAATCTAACATATTTTTTAATAACTATTAGACAGTGTTTTATTATTAAAAATTACCAAAATATGTTTTTACTTGCAATTAAAGAGTCAGAAAAAAATACATGAAAGGAACACCGGTGTCCCATCTGCGTCAAAGGGTTAAATGATAAATTTTTGACATAAAGTCAGGGACATCTTGTGGCACCCCAGGGTGCCGCGGCTTACTCTTTGTGAACTTATC